CTTCTTGATGATTTGCTGCATTCTGCTTGCCAATATCTTATTGAGGATTTTTGCATCTATGTTCATTAGGGAGTTTGGCCTGTAGTTCTCTTTTTTGATTGGATTCTTCTCCAGTTTGGGTATCAAGATAATGCTAGCTTCCAGGAATGAATTTGGGAGTACTTCTTCCCTTTTAATTTCATTAAAGGGTTTGAGAAGTGGTGGCATTAGGTCTTCTCTAAATTTCTTGTAGAATTCAGTGGTGGATCTACAAGGGCCTGTTTTTTGTTTGTTTGTTTATTTGTTTGTATTGGTTTGTTTGTCTGTTTTTGGTTTTTTGAGACAGGTTTGCACTATGTAGTTGAGACTGACCTGGAACTCACTATGTAGCCCAGGCTGGTCTCAAACTCACAGCAATCCTCCTGCCTCAGCTTCCCAAGTGCTGGGATTACAGGCATGTGCTGCCACAACCAGCTGGGCCTGGGCTTTTATTTGTTGGTAGGTTTTTAGTTACATATTCAATTTCACTAGTTGATATTGTTTTATTTAGAATTTTATATCTTCTTGATTTAGTTTTGCTAATTCATACACAGGAAAAGAGGAAAGGAAGAAATAAAAATAAGAACAGAGCAGAACAACAACAAAAAACTAGAACCCATGTTAACAATCAATAAAAAACAAAATAAAACAAACCTGGTGTGGTGGTACATGCCTATAATCCCAGCATCAGGAGGCTGAGGCAGGATGATCTGTAAATTTGAAGCCAGTAGGGCTACATAGTGAGTTCAAGGCCAGCCTTAACAACATAGGAAGACCCTGTCTCAAAACAAACAAACAAACAAACAACAAACCCAAAACAAAAGAGCCGGAAAAGAGGGGAAAAAAAAGAAAGAAAAAGAAAAGAAAAGAAAAAAACCTTCCAATTCAAGGTATGCCTCTGCTATCACTAGAAGGCAACACAGGCAACAAGTCCAGACCCAAATTGATTAATCCCAGCAAGCCAGCTGCAGCCTCACAGTGGAATAGTGGATAATCCCAGCTAACCTGTCCTTTGGGTTCCACTGAAATTCTGGCTGGTTTCTGGCTATGAGTCTGGAGCCAGATTCCTTGAGCCTACAATAGTCCATGTCCCTTCCCCCAGCTTGAACTCCACTCGCTGGCCTCCTGCCGACTTGAACTCAGCACCTACACTGAGACACTAGGAGCCACTAGATAGAGTAGGCCAGTAGCTGATCTGCATTCAGAGGTCAGTTGGGCCCTCTCCAAGATGGCTACTAGCCCATCACCCTCTCCTGGGTGATCTGAACCCAGATAACTCACCACCCACTGCAGTCCACTGTGTCCACTGCTCCATTCCACTGGTTTGTTTCTCCGTGGAGGCCTCTGGGATCACCAGCAGTTACCATGAGCCTGCAGGTCCATCCCGCCTTCCCTGGAGGAGAGTCCTGGCTCTGGGAGAGAGTACTGACTGCATTGTTATTTCCCTCCTCTTTGCTGAAGTCTCTAGCTTTGCTCTCCTCATGGACTTCAGTTATTGCTTCAGATCCTTCCTGAGTCCTGGGGACTCATTTCCCTCCTTCTTCTTGCTATGCTTTATTCCAGTCAGGACACCAACTCTCAGAGAGGCTCTTTCTCTGCTGCTCACTACTCCATCATCTTCCTGGAAATCCAGTTTGTAGAGGTTTTAGTCCATGGCTGGCTCCAAGGCAGAATGGCATGGAAAAGTGTCACAGCAGAGGAGACACAGTCCATGGCAAAGTAGGAAGCAGCAAGCAACAAACAGCATCTGAAGCAACAGCAAAACAGCAGAAGACCATGACAGAATTTTTAAAATTTTTTCTCCCCCCACTTTTATTTTTGAGGCCAGGTCTCGCTATGTAGTGCACACTAGCCTTGAACTCACTATGTAGCCCAGGCTGGCCTCAAACTCACTGTGATCTTCCTGTGTGGCCTGGCAGCTTATTTCATTTTCTTTTCCTGCTAGAGATCAAATCTAGGGCCATGTGTATGCCAAACACTACACCCCCACTACACGTACCACTGCACTACATCCCTAGCTCATAGCCCCTCTTCTTCCCTTCCATTCTCCTCTCTCCTCTCCCCACCTAACCTCCCTCCCTTCCTTTCATAATGGAGATTGAAGTCATACTCTTAACACTGAGCAACATCCGCATCTCTTTTTATGTTTAATTTTGAGACAGGATCTTACTAAATTGTCCAGGCAAGCCTTGAATTTGTGATCCTCCTGCCTCAGCCTCTCAGATGGCTGGGATTACAGGTATGGGCCATCAACCTGAATTCAGCTTGTTTCTTTTTGACACTGAATAATATTCCATTCTATGTGCCATAGTTTGTTTACCCATTCACTTACTGAAGGACATCTTGATTGCTTTTAAGTTTTGGCAATTATAAATAAGGCTGCTATAAACATGCATACACTTATTTTTGTGTGCACAAAATTTTCAACTCTTTTAGGTAAATACCAAAGTGCATAATTGCTGAATCATATAGTTATTAGTAGGCTTTTTAAGAAACTGTCAAATTCTCTTCCAAAGTGGCTGTTCATTTCTTGCTGTGGGGGTTGGGGAAATGGATATTGAACCCAGGGCCTTTGTACTGAGCTACTGCCCCAAACATTTTGATGTTTTGTTTTTGTTTCCAGACAGGCTCTCACAAAGTATCTAAATTTCCCAGTTTGGGCTCGAATTTACAATCCTCCTGCCTCAGCCTCCAGAAGTGCTAGGATTGCAGGTGGACACCACCACATCCTGGTTATGGCTGCTCCATTTTGCATTCCCAACAGCAATGAATACAAGATCATGTTGTCAGTGCTTTGGATTTCAGTCACAGGGTCTAAGTCACTAAATTGCCAAGGACAGGCTCAAACTTTTTTATTGTTTCATGGTACCAAGGATTGAACTCAGGATCTTGCACTTGCAGGTGTGTTCAAACTTTTGATCCTCCTGCTTCAGATTCCCAGAGTACTGGGATTATAGGCATTCACCACCATACACAGTTTGATTATATTAATTTTTGATGTCAATTAATTAAATGTGTGGATACTTGGAAGATATGTATAATTCAATGAACCAATGTTTTCTAAATGACTGTATGTATTATTTTACAATATAATGCAGGTCCATTAAAAGGGCAAAACATAGCCAGGAATGGTGGTGCATGCTAATAGTCCCAGAACTCGGGAGGCTGAGACAGGAGGATCACCATGAGATTGAGGCCAGCCTAGGCAATATAGTGAGTTCCAGTCCAGCCTAAACTACACAGTGAGACCATGTCTCAAGAAATATCAAAAGCAAAAAAAAAAAAAAAAACCAAAAAAAACCCCACAAAATACAAAAAACTAAAACATCAAAGAGCATGACATGTAAATGTTTTAGTTGGGTATGGTTGTGTGCCTGAAATTCTAGCACTCTGGGAGGCTGAGGCAGGAAGATTTCAAGATTTCCAGCTTGGGTAATTTAGTGACTTTACCAACACCCTGTCTCAAAATAAAAGACAAAAAGAGGCTGGAGTTGTAGCTCAGAGCAAAGGACTTGAGTTCAATCCTCAGTACCACAAAGAAAAAAATAAGATGTATCAATGATTGTAAAGTAATAGAGACTTTTGTTCATAGATATGTTTAGATTCCACATGCCAACTAACTTTTCAAAAACTTACATTTGTTGGCCAGGGTACAGCTCATTTGAACAGTGCATGCTTAGCATAATGTGAGGCTCCGAGATCAATTCTTAAGACCACCCCCTACAGCTACTGCTTTGACAAAAAGTAGCATCAAGCCAGGTGTGGTGGTGCAAGCCTGTATGAAATCCCAGTACTTGGGAGGCTGAAGCAGGAGGACTGCCACAAGTTTGAGGCTAGTGTGAGCTACATACGTATAGGGTCTTCCCTTTCCAATTAGTTAACCTGTGAGGTCAGCTTTCCTCTAAACCCTTCAGTTAACATTTCACAACATGTTTAATTTTTTTGTGGAAAATATACTTATTTTTCATAAAGTGGGATGTATGTAAACATGTTATAATCGTATTATTGCTTTTTTTTTTTTTTTTTTTTTTTTTTTTTTTTTTTTTTGGTACCGGGGATTGAACTCGGGTCCTTGCTTGCAAGGCAGGCCACTGAACCGCTGAGCTAAATCCCGGGCCTTATTATTGCATTTTTAACGAATCAATACCAAAAATTTAAAGTTATTTAAAACGTTTCTCAATTTTAATATTTTCAGAATTTGGATGTAGCTCTTTGGTAGAATATTTGCCTAGCATGCACCAGCCCCTGGCTCCCATTCCGAAAAAATAAATAGGAAAAATTTCCAGTATCACAAATATTTAAATAATCCAATATAAACAAAGCGTTTGTTTGTTGAGACAGCGTCTCGGGGTCTCACTATGTAGTTAAGGGTGGCCTTGGACTCATGCAGATTCTCCTGCCTCTATTATTTCTAGCAGTGTAGAGGGCTCTAGAGACCAAAGTTTGACAATCAGTGCTCTAGGATGGTTGCTTTTCCTGCTGGCTAACCCCAGTGGGGAGAATTAGGTACAAGCCTGGACCACCCCCTCTTCAGTTATGCTATTTTTTCTCCCCCGCGGCTTTCAGAGCCAAGGTTTCCAAAGGTACGGAGCGAACGAAAGGATCTGCGCACGCGATCTAAGACCAAGCAGCTCTTCAGTGCCTCAGTGAACAACCTCTGGGGAAAAAATCTGCCCTTTACACCAAATCCCTTAGGCCAGGGAACGATAAAGGAACGCTATAAACTGGAGGAGTGTCAGGGGTTGGGAGAGGACCCAAAGAAATCAGGGAGTACAGAAGTTTTTGAAAAGGACCCAAGGACGAGAGTGGCAGCATTTTGAGAGCCACTCTACCCTTCCCGGTCCCCCTTTAAAACGTGGCTCACCCCGCCCCTCCGCGCCTGCGCTATCCCGCTCCAAGGCCCCCCTCGCCCCGCCCCCTGACTCCCAGTTCGCGCTCTTCACGACAGTGCCGGCGCTTTTCGGCTGATGCTGATGTGTCGGGGAGGCGGGGCTTAGGGTGTAGAGTCTCTTGGCTCCACCTGCTCCGGCCTATCCTCCGGGTCCACCTGCTTCAACGGAACGATGGCGGTGCGGGCCCGGTCAGTGCGGGCCCCGCCCGGCTCAGGTAGGCGTAGAACTCGCCCTGCGGCGGGAGGAAGGGCGCTGCTTGGAAGCGGGCAGGAGGTCGCCCAGGGGAATCTGGGGAGGGGGCTGTTCAGAGATTGCAGCCCGCGGCCTCGGGATGACAGTGACAGTCAGCATCGCTCTGCGGTTGGGGGGGCTGCAGTCCGAGGGGTTCGGGGACCTTGGGGAGTTCCGGGGGAGGGGCTGCACTGCTGGGATGTTTCTGGCAGTCAGAGCTCAGTAGGAGAATCCAGGTGAACAGCAGGCCTAGGGCTTGAGGGCTGAGAGTGTTGTGATTTGGGAGGAGCTGTCGGGTTGGAAGAGGACCCTAAGAAGAAGCTTATGAAAAGGACACAGGATGAGACTGGCTGCTTTTCCTGCTGGCTAATCCCAGTGGGGAGATTAGGTACAAGTCTGGACCACACTCTCTTCCCTGCTCTTTCTCTGCACCCCCTCTTCAGCTATGCTATTTTATCTCCCCTGCGGCTTTCAAAGCTAGGGTTTCCTACAGGTACAGAGCGAAGGAAAGGATCTGTGCTCCCCGCTGCGCTCACACTTTTTCCATTTACTGGTTGTAGATAAAGTACAGAAGGACAAGCCTGCCCAGACCTCAGGACCCAGGCAGGGCAGTCGAATGGCGAAACTCTTAGGTTTTGAATGGACAGACTTGTCTTGCTGGCAGAGGCTGGTGACCCTGCTTAATCGGCCGACAGATCCAGCAAACCTAGCTATCTTTCGTTTTCTCTTCGGTGAGTCTGCTTTCTTGGTGGGGACAATTGGGTTGGTGGTGGGAAAATGACAGTTGTATTTCTTTCTTTCTTTTTTCTTTTTTGGTACCTGAGATCGAACTCGGGACCTTGCGCTTGCAAAGCAGGCTGTTGACACTGAGCTAAATCCCTGGCGCGACAGTCGTGTTTCTTGGTTACTTAGCCCCGCCTTTCCTTTGAGATGAAGAGAACTGACATAGTGGAAGAGATCTTTGTGAAGTTTAGGAACAAAGCCAGCTTTGTCTCCTTCATTTAGTTTGGTGACCAGACATGCTTTCATTTGAGACTATGTGAAATACTGAAGCAGAGCAACAGCGACCTGTTTTGCTTGTGGCATGAAGTTGCCCAGCTACTAACTTTAGAGAAACAGAGCAAGGTAGCAAGGCCAAACATTTGGCTGTGACTTCCTGACCTGGAACTTCCTAACCTGTATAGGCCGTAGCATACATCGTACTTGACATGGGTTATGGACACGCCAAACTATCATCCTCTTAACCAAGTAGTTCTCAGCGGGGGAGTTTTGCTCCTGGGATGCTTTGGCAGTTTCTGAAGACATTTTTAGTTGTCACAGTTTAGGGGAGAAATGGGTAGCTGTTGACATCTATGCAGGCACATCTAGATGCTACTAGATGTCCTATAACACAGAAGATAATCATTCCAGCAAGTTATTAACCAGCCCAAAATGTAATGGGTCCTGAGCTTGTGAAACTCTGCTTATCTCAAGCTGGCTTCCTGACCTAAGCACCCCTTCTGTTTATCCCTGAGTACTGCCCAAACACCACTGCTTTCCTGGGTTTGCTAGGAAGCAAGAGACTGACAAGGACCCCTCCCTAGAGCACTTCCCATAGCCAGGTAGGATTATCTTTGTAATTTAAAGCACCAACAGTTTTTGTAGGATTTTGTGCATTTCTTTCATTCAGTCCTTTCTGTAACCCTATGAGGTATTGAGTCCCCTTTTCACAAGTGAAGAATTGGCTCACTGAGATGCAGGGATTAGTGGCCAGCACAGTACAGGCTCTGTAATTATTGTCAGAACCAAGATTAGAAATCTGATACTGAAGCTAGACATACTTACCTGGCTTCTTCTGTATTCTGCTGCTGCTTTAGCAGATAACCTAACAGTCCTCTCTCCTGTTGCCGCTGCAGCCTTCTTGATGGTGCTGGACATCCCCCAGGAGCGAGGGCTCAGCTCCTTGGACCGGAAATACCTGGATGGGCTGGATGTGTGCCGCTTCCCCTTGCTGGATGCCCTGCACCCACTGCCACTTGACTGGATGTATCTTGTCTACACCATCATGTTTCTGGGTGAGGGAGCTGTGGGAGACTTGGGAGTACTGACTGCCAAACACCAAAATAAGAAGCATGCTAGTGAATGACTAAGGTCTTGGGTGCCCATTTCACATCTACTGTGATTTGATTTCATTCTGCTCATCTGTGTGTCATTTGCACTGAGATTCTCTAACTCTTCTTTTTAAAAAAGTAACATTTAATTTTGATTTAGTTTTACCTGATTATAAAATGCCTGATGACTTTTCTTAATCCCAGTCCTAGCTTGTCCCAAGGAGGCTGGGCCTGTGGTGACCCCTTGACCTCTCAATCCTCTCCCACAAACCTCAGGGGCACTAGGTATGATGCTGGGCCTATGCTACCGGATAAGCTGCGTGTTATTCCTGCTGCCCTACTGGTATGTCTTTCTTCTGGACAAGACATCGTGGAACAACCACTCCTATCTGTATGGTTTGTTGGCCTTTCAGCTGACTTTCATGGATGCAAACCACTACTGGTAAGAGTCTGGGAAAACATGAGGAAGGGATTGGCTGGGTTGGGATGCTTACTAGCAGTAGGGGCCCAGTGAGAAATTGCCCCAGTAGGCATATTATGAACCATGTTTTGCAAAGTTTGGTTACAAGATCACATTTTGACTTGCAATGGATGTGGAAGGGAACTGGCCAGCCAGTTGGGGCAATTGGAGTGACAAAAAGTAAAATGTCTCCATCCTTCACTGTTTTCCATGTTTTCCCAGCTGCCTTGACCTGTCCACTTCCTGTAACACTCTTAGAAGAAGAGAAGCTGGTGTGGTGGCACATGCCTATAATCCCAAGTACTGGGAGGCTAAGTGGCAGGAGGTTCACCAAGAGTTTGGGGCCAACCTGGGCTACATAATGAGTTCAAGGCCAGCCTGAACTACATAAACTACATAGTGAGACCTTGTCTCAAAAAAAAAAAAGAAAAGATTGCTGAGGAGGAGATCATGTCAGAGGAGAGGGTCCATCATCAGGGAGAAAGTAATCCTCCCTCAGCTCTGGTGTAGGTGACCATCTTTCAGGAGAGGTGAGGAAGAATGATTTGGAGTCAGGGTGGCAGGGCAAGTGATCTTCTTTCCATTGTTAAGTGAAAAGCATATGTGAAGTTTCAGTAAGATGGGTATAGGAACAAAATCTCAAGCATTGAATTCATTAACATTCATGAAATTTCACTGATGATTCACATACAAATTCTGCTATTGTAAACTTTTTATTTTTTATTTTTTGGAGCCAGGTGTGGTGGCACTCTGGGTGTTAGAGTTTGAATATATGGCCTCATGCATGTTAAGCATGTGTTTTACCACTGAGCTCCACCCCTCCTCCCCTCCTTTTAGTAAGACATTTTTTTTTTTTTTTTTT